GTTTACAATTTTTCTGTGAACAGTTTTGAATATTCTAAACATTGTTCTCGACTCGTGTAGGAATGTTATTTTAAACGTATGGTGTTTGAAGTATTTTGAAAAGTTATTTCTCAGCTTTTTGTTACATGGTGTAACTTAAAACATTATTGTGACCATAGTTAATAGAGAGGACCTCTGTTGTGACTGAACATTAGCGAGTAAAGTATTTGCGTGCTTAGTTTTCTAATGAATTCGGGCATCAGTCCTTCGTCAAAGTTGAAAGCAAAATAATCCGTTTGCATCGACGATTTACTCTCTAGTTCGGTCACGAGAGCTAGAATATCTTAGATATGGACAACTCAGAAAAGCTTTTAAAGTGCATATGAAACGGAAAAATTTTAATCTTAATGTGTAGTTTATTGGCATTAATAAGAATATCACGGTTAAATTTGTTATTAAAAAAATATTTCTCTAGAAATTCAAGAAAATTTAGCACAAGTGGTGACGTCATTTTGTTTACAAGTCTCCAGTTTTAGTTGCAAATACACGAAATATGTTTGAACGTAGAATAGATATAGAAATATGCTTTTGAAACTAATTTCATTACGATATATTGATTATTACTTACAAACTATACATTTTGGACGATGAAATATTTTCGTGTCATATACACGATGGAAAAACTAAATTCTAAAAAGCTCATACATTCAGTCAAATTCCGTCATTTTTGCCCTATTTGGTACCACCGTGAATCGCATTTATAAAAGTCTTATATTCATCGCCCATGTAGCAATAATGTAAAATACAGCCTCTATTAATAACTACCCTTCCCAAAATCGGTTTAATAAAGCTCAGCGCAACGTGGCCTTGCTTCAACGGAAGGCGAAAGACATAGTGTGACTAAATGAGGAAGCTCCTCAAACTTACATTTTAGATATATTTGCTCGACGATTTTAGCGAAGCTAAAAATGTCACTCGCGACGGACTGTCCCGCGCGTCCCTCAACGATTTCGGGAGCGATGTGCGGATACTTTTTCTTGTATCTAACTTGTTCTTCAAGAGATAAGGTCTTGGGTCCCATTGGATTCGAAATTGGTCGGCTTTTGCCAAAGTCGATTATTACCGGTGTGAGAACGGTACCCCGTTTGTCCAACAACACATTGTTCGATTTTAGATCGTTATGTAGAAATCCAACACTGTGTATATGTTGCAAAGCCTCGGCTGTCTTAATCATGATCGCATCCCATTCGCGTTTCTTCGCTACCAGTTTGGAGTGCAGAGCTCGAAGGAGTGTGAGGCTATCACATCCATTACCATGGAACTGTAGCACCAGTCTGTATGGAGTGCTTTTGCTACAAATACCAAACAGCAGTGGCAGACCTGGATGATCAC